AAAAAAGAGGGGGAAAAAGAAATATACAACAAAAATGTGAACAAGAGGAGAGAGACACTGTATTGAACAAAAAGCATATGTTAAGATCTGAGAAGGCTCATAAGGATCATGTGCTTCGTAGTGCTTCTGTTATTACACTATCAGCCTGTATTGCTTATATAAAATTATCTATATATATTTATATATACTATATATAGCATATATAGTATTTAAAATGATGTATTAGAAATATATTTCAAAATATATGGTATGCATATATATATACATGTAAATATCTCATTGTCTTTAAAGGTAGGGGCTTTTTTTTTTTTTTTTTTAAATCTCTAGTTCTTGCTTGGGGAAGATATCCTCCAACGTAGGGCTTAACACATTGTAGACTCTTAGTAACTGTTGATTGAATGGTAGGGACTAGAAATCAGTGACCAGAAGATACACTCAGAAAAGGCTTTACTGGCCTGTGAGGTACTGGAGGTTCAGGGAGGGCGACAAGGGAGCCAGGGATGGGTGGGGTGGGGTGGGGTGGGGATGGAGCTCAGGAAGCGTTTTTGCGACAGGAATCAAGCAGGAGGAATGTGACAGCCGCCGTTCCACCCTCTCAATTATTGTCCTCACTCAGGAGAGTGAAGAGGGGTCTCGATTTCCTGTGGCCGGGGTGTGCGGTGTGTGCGTTGGGCCGGGAGGCACTCTGTGCCTCCCTGGGCCAGGTCTGCCCCTTCCCTCACTCCCCGCCTCCCCGCCCTTTCCTCCCTCCCCGAGTCCTGGAGCGCTGGCCTCGGTGCTGAAACAGAGCTCTCAGAGGAGGGAGGGAGGAGGGGCCGGGCAAAGGGGGCGGAGCTCTCTGGACCTCTGAGCTGGAAATCAGAGAGGGGCAGGGCGGCGCCCGCCGGCCTGAGACCCTGAAGGACTAGAGAGGAGACAAGAGACCAGAGACAGCCCCGGCTAGGCAGATGCATTCACCTGGACAAGCTTTCCCCGAAGAAACCAAAGTCGTCGTCCTTGTCCTGTTAATTCTCTTTCTTCTTCCTTGGAGAGGCCCTCACCTTGTGACCTGACTGCAGCCTCCTTCCCAAACCAGGCTGGCGAGTGACCTGCTTCTGGGCTTCAATCCGCACAGACACCAACTTCCAGCCCATAGGGCCCCGGCCCAGGCCCCTCGCCCTCACTATGGTGAAGTTGCTCCCTGCCCAGGAAGCAGCCAAGATCTACCATACCAACTATGTGCGGAACTCGCGGGCGGTTGGCGTGATGTGGGGCACGCTCACCATCTGCTTCTCGGTGCTGGTCATGGCCCTTTTCATCCAGCCATATTGGATCGGTGACAGCGTCAACACACCGCAGGCAGGCTACTTCGGCCTTTTCTCCTACTGTGTGGGTAACGTGCTGTCCTCAGAGCTCATCTGCAAGGGTGGCCCACTGGACTTCTCCTCCATACCCTCTAGAGCCTTCAAGACTGCCATGTTCTTTGTGGCCTTGGCCATGTTCCTCATCATTGGCTCCATCATCTGCTTCAGCCTGTTCTTCGTCTGCAACACGGCCACAGTCTACAAGATCTGCGCATGGATGCAGCTGGCTGCGGGTGAGCAGGGATAGTGGGAGGGCAGGCAGGGGCGCACCTCAGGCCACAGGTACAGCTGCACCATCCCATTTTCCGTGGAGGCTCTGGGTCTCCTACTCAGCTGCCTCCTTTCGCCCAGCCCTACTCAAGGCTCTGTAGACTCTTCTGAGTAGTAGGGAATTTTAGAATGGCTGAGACAGAAAGGACCTTAGAGATAAAATTGTTCAACTGCCTCATCTTGCTGATGAGGAACTGAAGCCCAGAGAAGGCAAGTGACTTGCTCAGGAGCACATAGCTAATTGGTAGAAGAAATCACATGTCCTGACTCACAGGCCACACCAGAGGTTGTTGCTGCTCTGGGAGAGAGAAAAAAGGAAGTTGTAAGATGTCCCCATCTCCCACTCTGGGCATTTGTTCTTTCTCCTTTAAAGATTTCCATATCCCTGCCCTCACCCCTTCTCTCCCACCCCAAACTGCTCTCAGTGCAGATTCTAAGGTCAGTCATTAATTTTAGAGCCAGGAAGAGAGGGCCTAAGACTTTATCCTGCAGTGTTTGGTTCCTCCCCAAGGCAAGGACAGTACATAGACTGTCCATACTGGGAAAATGTCCAGAAGCAGTGCTGGGAACTGCAGACTAGAGTGAAACCATCTTGACATCATTGGTTAGAATGAGAAGCAGTGTTATCCTTAACAGAGGGGAATGAAACAGGGATCAGAATTGCAGACAACTAAACATATAGACTCAAGACTGTGAGATTTGGAGGGGACCAAAGAAACCTATAGCCCCCCTCTCCCATAACTATAGATGAGAAATCTGGGTCTGATAAGACTTAGCCACACTATAGTAGATCAACTGTAAGGACCTACGAAAATTAAGACAAGAAACTAGGTGTATTCCAAAGACATTTTTGTTGAGCCACATGTTTATATAAATATAAAGATTTACAGAGTACCTTTATATAGATTTGTCTGGAGGAACCTCATCATGACATGGTGAGGTGGGTATTCCTTCTACTTTATAGAGAAGGCTCCTAGTGGGTAACTTGTGTTTGAGCACACAGGTAGTGAGGGACAGAATGTTTAATTCCAAATCTTGTACCCAGGTTACTCTCCTGGCTCCAGAGCTGCCTTCCAAATCCTCTCTACCATCTCCCTCTCTTCTGTAGTCTCACTATATAATGAGGGAAAGGTTGGGGCAGGGGTGAGGCAAGTCTTGGTGGGCAGTGGGAAGAAAGAAGGGGAATGAAGATTTAGCAGTTTTTGACAAAGAGGAGTAGAATGGACACTGGCATGCTTGCCAGCTGGTCTTGCATGTCAGAGTTATGGGACCCTGGAAATATAACCATCCCTCTCATTCTCTGCACTGCCCCCCTCCCACAACAGGTGTCATTTGCTGAATAGGCAGAACTGGGAAGGCTTTGATGGGGGAAGGGTTAGCAGGCCTTCTGAGCCAGACTATGTATGGGTCATGGAGTTGGAAAACTGTTAGCAGAGGTAGCCAGGTGCCATCTAGTAAAACATTTATATTGGAGAAGAGCACAGGTGGTGTCATGTTCCAGTCCTCAGTGCTGGGGAAGGGAAGATGACCCAAAGGGAGGTATAAGTAGGTGGTGTGCCTCATAGCCAGCAGCTGGGAGATGTATCCATTTGAAGAGGCCTAAACCAGATAGTTTGACCTTGCCAAGAAAGCCTGGGACCGAGGAAGGAAAAAGGAGAATGACAGGGAAGGTGGGGCTATAGCTTAATAATATTAATCGAGCTTCTGGATGCCAAGTGTAGGCCGAAGGTAGGGCAAGTTGCTTGTCTCTCTGAGTCTTGGTAACCTCATCTGTAGAATGTAGCAACAGTATTCCCTATCACAGTGTTCTAGCAAGGAGGAGATGATATCATGCATGCAAAACACCTTGCACAGTACCTGACACATTATCATGTGCTCAGTAAATGTGAAAAACAAAAACCGCAACTTTATCAGTCAGGATGGTTGAAGTGATACCACAGTACCAAACAACTTCAAAATCTTAATGGCTTAAAACAAATGTTTATTTCCTGCTTGTGGTACATGTTCATTGAGGATCTGCTGGGGGCTCTGCCCTCACTATTCTCTTCTGTAACCCAGGTGGATGGAGCATCGTCTGTCGCTGCAGAAGGAAAGGGAGCCCTGGAAGGTCTCACACCAGCAGTTAAATGTTCTGGCCTAGAAATGCACGCCACACTTCTGCTCACATTTTATTGGCCAAATGAAGTCAAATGGCCTTGCTTAACATCAAGGGAATGGGGCAAGGAAGTATAATCTTACTATGTACCTGGAATATGTGTCAACAGCTCTAATGACATCTATATCCACTGAGGTTGCTTCCATCTGACTTCAATGACGATCATAAGAGCAACGACTAACATTAGTTGGCCACTTACCATGTACCGGACACTCTAGTAAGCATTTTGTATACCTGATCACACTTAATCCTATGAGTCAGATATTATTATCCCTATTTTACAGACAAGTCAGATATTATTATCCCTATTTTACAGACAAGAGAATGGAAATCTGAAAGGGTAAGTAAACTTGCCTAATACTGTGCTAAGATGGTCCAGAGACACCACAAACAGGGTTGACCTCCACAGTGCCCAGGTCCATAGTCACAACTTGTTTCCAAGGCAGAGGCCCTGGGAGATGCTATGGAAGGAGAAAGTGGCCAAGGGGAGGAGTAATGTGGAGAACGGAAGGTTCGGAAGGACAGCTTTTTTTCCACATTTACCTATTCACCTATACACTGAGCATCTGTGTATGTGTGTGTCTTCACCCACCTCCTTCTCTTCTACTGAGCTAGAGGCCATGCCAGGCACCAAAGGCTGGTCTCATATCAAGAGGGCCAAGGTTCTACCAAAGAGCTCTGGGAGGGTTCCTTCTTCCCCAGCCGTTAAGTATCTGCCTGAAACACACTTCAGTTTGTCATTAAGTCTGAAATGTCACCACTAAACACATTCAGCTCTTTGGAGAGATGTCAAAGCCTGGGAGGAAGAGGAATTAACTTTGAAGTCAAGAAAGTCAGGAGCCATGAGTTCAGGTCTTGGGTCTGCCATAGCTGGATGATTGGGCAAGTCACTTGGTTTCTCTGAGACCTTAGTTTTCTAATTGTAAAACAGGATATTAATAAATGGCTTATTTCTCAGAACTGTTGTCAGGATCAAGAGAAAAAATGGCACATGAAGTATTTTGTGATCTATAAAAGAACTATATAAATGAGCTCCTCCTATTAAAAAGTCAAAATAGGGTTGACACATTTAGGTAGGAAAGTGGGACTCTGATCTTTTCACCTTACTGTGCATTTGTTTGATCTGCTGACCTTTCTTGCAAGAATAAGCCAAGGTAACTTTGGGTCTTGTAAGGTCCTTCTCTGAGGAGGCCCTGGGTAAGGACAGCCTTGGGACTAAAGAGCCTCTGGCCTGTGCAAGCAGGGCCCGGGGTGGGAAAGTGGCACGGATAAGGGAAGGCACACCCTGCCTGCATGGTGGTTGCACTTGGGGTTATTCTGGTCACATCCCAGGATTATGTCACCTCTTTGTGCAGCTAAGGTGGGATGGTGGTTTGGTGGGAGGGCATAGGAGAAGTAGGGGGAAGGTGGGAAAAATGAAATTTTTAGATTTAAATACTAAGTCAATGAAAGTACAGGGTGGGATAATTGTAGCTAACATTCACGAAGTGCCAAGTATGTGCCAGGCACTGCTCTGAGCACTTTTCCAATATTAACTCCTTTGAACCTCACTGCAATCCAAACAGGTAGATGCTATTATTATCTCAATTTTATAGATGAGGAAACTGTGAAACAACAACAACAACAACAAAAAACGTAAGTAGCTTGCTCTGACTCACATGACTAGTTAGTGAAGAGCTGGGCTTGAAATCCAGTCAGCCCGCTCCAGTCACCCGGCTTTTCCTATTGAGAGAATCACCTTGGAAGAGTGCTTTTAAAAACAGGGATTCCTGAGCCCAACCCTGACCGTGGAATCAGCATTTTAAGCAGGAGATTAATTCAGGGAATTGTGGCAACTTCACTGTAATGGATCAGGTAAGAGTGAGGAGGCCTGATTGCTTGAGAGGAAGGTTCATGAAGGAAGCAGTAAGAGATGGGGCTGGACTACTTTCTGTATTCACTGAATTTAAGATACCCAGATTGTAGGACACACCACCATCTTATGTGCAGTACGAAGAAAAAATAATTCTAATGTAACTATAGCTGATAGCTTTCTTACTGCACTCACGTCAGACATGTTAAAATATGAACAAATGTACATCTTAGGTATGATGAGTTCTCTGGTCTGGGACCAGATTTTAGAGGGCTTCGAAGCCAGGGTTGGCAGTGCCTCATCCAGTCCAAAGTGAGGAGCTGGTGAAGGCCTGGTAGGACTACCTGGCATGGTGGCAGAACCCTCTCTGGACCGAGGAGCTCTGCTTCCTGCATCTACCTCAGATCGCTTGCTCTCAGGGGCAAGCTGCTTTAGCTCTTGGAGCCTCAGTTTTCTCCCCTGTGTTCTACAAGGATGGTATAACCTGCCCCTTGTGCCTCTCGAGGCTGTTAACACGAGGAGAAAGGAGGTGACACAATGACAGCAGTGCAAGGCGAGAGGCAGCAGGCTGAGCACCCCCAGCCTGACATATTTGCACCCCCTCCTGCCCCCTCAGCTACAGGCCTGATGATTGGCTGCCTGGTCTACCCAGACGGTTGGGACTCAAGTGAGGTACGGCGCATGTGTGGGGAGCAGACGGGCAAGTACACACTGGGCCACTGCACCATCCGCTGGGCCTTCATGCTAGCCATCCTCAGCATCGGAGATGCCCTCATTCTCTCCTTCCTGGCCTTCGTGCTGGGCTACCGGCAGGACAAGCTGCTCCCTGATGACTATAAGGCCGATGGACAAGGTAACTCGCCATCCCCCAGGGAAGTGGGGCTTCCTCTCAGCCATTCGCCCAGGACTGGACCTGGCCAAGAGGTGGGGGCACCAAGACTAATCAGACACAGGCCTTGTCTCAGAGGCCAAAGGCCAGTGGAGGGTAGCAAACTGGCAGGCAATGAGGTGATGACAGACATGTGTGACACAGGCTGTCTGTGATAGATAGAGCAGTGTCCTCCTGCCCCCTTGCACTCTCAGGGTCTACAGGGGAGAGAGTCCTGATCCAGCCTGGGAGCCAGATGTGGTCTCCCATAGAAAGTGGCACTGAGGCTGGGTCTCGAAGTAACACTGGGAGTTGGCTAGGAGGGGAGAGAAACAACAGCGGGGCAGAGGGGATGAGTTGTTGGGGAAGGAGCAGAAGGGCAGGTTGAGGTGCAGAAGTGACAGATCCTGGACTACAGATGGTGAGAGCTGAACACCCTGGGGTTAGGGTAGTCTTGGGGCTCTCTGTATGCCCATTCTGTTTCAGTTCCCTCGTGCGAATCCTACTTCTCAGTCATAAAGTCAGTTGTAGCTGACCCTGGAGGCCCAGGCAGACCCTTCAGGAAGCGTCCTCAGATTGCTTCCCACTGACCTGCCTTCCTCCTAGGATCCTTCCTGTTCCTGTCTCTCATTAGGCTCTTTCTCTATCTTGAGGGGCTTTTTCAGCACAAATATTTCATCTTCTAGTCATAAGGCAAGGCCTGTCTCACACCCTTGTGAATCCCAAAATGCCTAATACCAGCAGGTGGTCACTATGAGGGGCCTGTCACACCTCAGAGCCTCTCCAGTCTCCTTTCCCCATAATTGTCTTGGGACCTGAAAAAAAGAAACAGCCAAACTCCCTTATCCCCTGTGACCAACGACTCTTCCCAGATGAAGAATTTGAATCCCCGAACGGAGACCATCTAGAGGTGCACAGAAAAGTGGTAGCAAAGAGGAGCCCAGATCAAGTCTCTGGCCGAGCCCACCGCCCCCTTCTCCAGAGGGAAGTAATTGGAAACAGCTCACCCTTGTTTGGAGGTGGAAGAAGAAAAACTCACAAACCTAAGTTATGTGGTTAAGATGGAAATCAAATTACCAGAATGAGCTAGTCCAAGGAGGAGAGAGAGAGATGTTTCTAATGCAGGAGATTCGGAGAGTTCCTGGGTGCTGGGAATGCTTAGGGCCTGGGGCCCTATAAAGGGAAGGGAAATGGAACTAGTATTTATTGAGCCTCTTCTATGTGCAGGAGTGATATAAGGTTTGTTCACAGGGGCCGTTTTTTATTTAATCCTCCCAGTAATCCTGCAAAAAAAGGTTGGAGGCAGGGATTCCAGCAGCAATCTGCACAACCAGCACTTTCTGCAGTGAGGGAGGTTCTCCCAGGGAGGCTTGAGGAGGTGCGTTGTCTAGCTCCAAGCCCCAAGGCAAGGCCACCCTTAAATCTGTCTGGACAAACACACACACACACAGACACACACACAGACACACAGCGTTTTTATATTGCTCATTTGCTTTCTCTTTTTTTCAGAAGGGATTCTTTTAGCCCGCAAGAAATTTTATTCACATAATTCCTCTTTAAAGTGTTTTCTTAAAAAGAAATTGTTTTGTTCCTTTGACACTTTCTTTACTAATCAAAATGTCAATTTGCTTTCCTCTCCTTCCTTGTCCCGCTCCTTTCATATCCCGCATACCTCGTCCCCAATCTTTTCAGACTTTTTTCCTCTCCATACTTTAGTCCCCTCACTATCATACAGGATTTAATTTATCCTTTTTGTTTATTACCTGTTAGGAAACACCCACATAACCTTTCCGAATACATCTAACTGCTCAAGGAAGTAGTCGTTGCTCCTGTCAAAGCACAAAACTGGGTCAGGAGAGCAGAGTTTGAGTCCCAGGTCTTCCATGTCACTTTATGTCAGTATTCTTTCTAGTAAAAGGGGGGACACTAACCCCTGCTCTGCCACTTTCGTTATTGTGCGGCATGAATGAAACAAAGCAGAAGTGAAGCCTCGCGCAGTATATGGCTGCTAATCTACTCTCTAGGGGTTAAGGAGGCAGAGGAAAATGAGTATGGGCTCTGGAGTCGGAACTGGATTTAAAATTTTGGCCCTATTGTTAACTAGCTGTGTGACTTTGTAGAGGTTATTTAACTTCTCTGAGTCTCAGTTTTCTCATCTAAGCCTCATTTTCATGGGCTAGGAGGCAGGTTTTTCTCCATTTGTGAAAAAGTACCTACTTCAAAAGATCGTGCTCAGGAACAAGATAAGAATGTCTGCTCTTGTCACTTCTATCACTTCTATCGAAGATTGTACTGAAGCTTATGATCAGGGCAATTAGGCAAGAAAAAGAAATAAAAGGAAGAAGTAAAACTGTCTTTTTAGTAGATGACATGATTTTGTATATGGAGAATCTTAAATAATCCACTAAAAACTATTTGAGCTAATATACAATTTCAGCAAGATTGTAGGATATAAGAGATACAAAAATCTTTTGGATTTGTATACACTAGCAATGAACAATCAAATGAAATCAATCTTTTGGATTTGTATACACTAGCAATGAACAATGTAAAAATGAAATCAAGAAAATAATTTCATTTACAATAGCATCAAAAAATAAAATACGGATAAATTTAACAAAAGAAGTGCAAAACTTATACATGAAAATTTAAAAACATCGTTGAAAGAAATTAAAGACCTAAATAAATAACATCCAAATTCATGGATCAGAAGACTTAATATTGTTAAGATGGTACTACTCCCCAAACTGATCTACAGATTCAATGCAGTCTCTATCAAAATCCCAGCTGGCTTTCTGAAAAAATTGACAATCTGATCCCAAAATTCATATAAAAATGCAAGGGACCCAGAATAGTCAAAACCATTTTGAAGAAAAACAAGGTCAGAGGATGGACACGTCTTGATTTCAAAACTTACTAGAAAGCTAGTAATCAGGATAACGTGACACCGGCATAAGGATAGACATAGAGATCAACGGAATGAAATTGAGAGTCCAGAAATAAACCTAAACATCAATGGCTAAGTGATTTTCAAATAGGGTGCTGAGACCATTCAAAGTGGGAAATAACAGTCTTTTCAATAAATAGTGCTGGAACAATCAGATATACACATGCAAAAAAATTAAGTTGGACCACTTATCTCACATTACATACAAAAATTAACTCAAAATGGAGCAAAGACATAAGCGTAAACTATAAAATTGTCAAACTCTAAAGGGAGACATAGGTGTAAATCTTTACGACCTTGAATTAGGCCATGGTTTCTTACATGTGACACCTAATACACAAGCAACCAAATTAAAAAATAGATAATTTGGATTCCATCAAAATTGAAGACTTTTGTGCTTCAAATTACACCATCAAGAAAGTGAATAGACAACCCACATATTGGGAACAAATATTTATAAATCATAATAATAATTCTAGTATCCAGAATACATTAAGAACTCCTACAACTCAACAATAAAAATACAAATAATCCAATTTTAAGAATGGACAAAGGATTTGAATAGACATTTCTCTAAAGAAGATGTACAAATAGCCAATGAGCACACGCAAAGATACTCAACACCATTAGTCATTAGGAAAATGCAGTTCAAAACCACAAGGAGATACTACTCCACACCCACTTAGGATGGTTATAATAGAAAAGTTGAACAATAACAAACGTTGTTGAGCATGTGAGAAATTAGAACCCTTGTACACTGCTGGTGCAAATGTAAAATCTTGCAGTGCTTTGGAAAACAGAATGGCAATTTCTCAAATGATTAAACATAGAGTTACAAGGTGACCCAGCAATTCCACTCCTAGGTATAGACACAAGAAAATAGAAAACATGTGTTCATGCAAAAACTTGTCCACAAATGTTCATAGCAGTACAGGAGTCAAAAAGTGGAAACAACCCAAATGCTCATCAATTAATGAATGGATAAACAATATGTGTATATTCATTTAATGGAATATTATTCAGCCATGAAAAGGAACAAAATACTAAAAATTGCTACAATGTATGAATCTGAAAACTTTACAAAGAAGCCCGACGTGAAAGACCATATATTGCATGATCTCATTTATATAAAATGTTCAGAACAGGCAAATCCATGGAGACAGAAAGTAGATTTCAGTAGTTGTCTGGGGCTGGGAAGAAGGGGAACCAGGAGTGATTGCTAATGGGCACAGGGTTTCTTGGTTGTACAACCTAGTGAATACACTTAAGATCACCAAGTTGTACACTTTAAATGAATAAAACGTATGTTAGTGAATTATATCTCAATAAAAAAAAATGTGCTGAGGATTAAACAGTGTATATAGAACACTAACAATGCCTGCATATTATAGGTGATTAATAAATATCAGTTCTCTCTCCCTTCTGCTTTTCTAGTATCCCCACTTTTTACATCATCCATCGGCACAGCCAATAACAGCTCTTGTGCTCAGTTGCTCATCAACGTCTTTAGGCCTAGGGGGTACTGAGAAGAGAGAAGTCTGAATTGGACTTTACAGTCTAGTAACAGAGACAATCTAGCAATATGGAATGATAAGCTGAAAAACATGACGAATAAAAAGTGCAAGCTTTCTTGAGAGTGAATGAGAGGAATTTGATCTAGTTTGGAGAGCAAGTAGTGTGCGGGGAATTATCCTGAAAACAAGGCTTGGCTGTAAACAAATACTATTCTTTCTCTTTTTCATTGCAGAGGAAGTCTGAAGCCGCTGAAGGTCAGTAATTCCACTGAAGGGTGGTCTGTGCACCTTTGGAAGGGCTATGGCCTCCGCTTCATTTAATGGAATATTATTCAGCCATGAAAAGGAAGCCTCAGGCAGAATAACTCATGGGGCTGGACTACAGGGGCTGTGATGTGGTGTGGCCTGGGGATCACCCAGGGGGGCAGGAGCCAGCTGGCATCCGAGACCTTTGCCAAAGGCAAACAGGAACACTTTAGTTGTGTCTTGAGAAGTGGAAAATAACAGAGAAAGAAGAAATAATTTAAAACAGGCAGGTGGTTTCATAAACTATCTTTTTGTGGAGACTGGCAAACACGAATGGCTGTTTAGAAGTTATTATTGTAATTCGGACCCTCATTTTCAGAAAGAATTTTAACTGATTTGTAGGAAACATACTAGAAAACCTAATAAAATGGAAAACGACAGTCATAAGAGGAAAACACATATTACAGAAAGCTAGGCTAATAGAATTACTGTATTGAGTATTAAATTTAGCTCTATGCTTCCTGATAGCTGAGGCAAAAAGAAAAACACAATTTAACCAGTTTTAATATATGGTTGAAAAGGAAGCACAGCATATTAATTTCCTTATTGTCTTTTAAGTTTCCAAAATGTGATTTAACAAGAACATTAAGGAACGCATTTAAAAAAAGAAAAAGAAAAAAAACCCCACAACAGTATCACCTTCCTAACAGCTGCCATTTATTAAGGACCCACAGCTGGCTGGGCACTTTGTTGGGTAGGAGGGAATTTCTCCATTTAAACTTTTAATTTTTGCAAAGTATCTTCTAGTCTGTGACCATATAGATATGTTGGGGTTTTTTTTTTTTGAATAATTATACATCAGCATTAGCCCATACATTAGATGATTTTCAAACTTTGATATGCACCCAATCACCTAGGGATTTGATTCTGATTTTGGGAGTGGCGCCACAGATGCTGTATTTCTAACCAGCTCTCCAGCGATGGGTGCTGGAGTGGGGGTCACACTTTGAGTAACACGCTAGTAGAGTATAGACATTTTCTTATGTTTTTGCAATGTTCATTATAAATCTTTTAAAAAGCCTTTGACTCCACAGTACTGGAATACCATTTAATTGCTAAACCAGGCCGTGGTATTAGCCATTTAGGATTGCTGTCATAGATAATAACTTTTTGAAAAATTCTGGAGTGGAATTACTGAATCAAAGGTAACTATACCTCTGTGTATGCTGTTTTTTTTTTGTTTGTTCTACATTTTATTTATATTTTAATGGTCATGAGTTTTTTACTTGAGAGACATTAAATGCAATCTTATACACTAATGAGGAAGTTTGTGTATCTGGGTAGGACTAAACC